TCCTGGTCGTTGACTCAAAAATATTTGTCAATAACCAGGATTTGTCAGCGCAATTCAGACCAATATCTAAAAAGCCAATATAGAAGATATTGAACACAACATCCCCGGTAAAGTCGTGTTTTAAACAAGAGTACCTTTTTAAAACAGCTTAGAGGGTATTCAGGAATTTGTGCGTAAAAGCCACCCCACTATACGTCCCTCGGACTGCATCATTATGTACAAGAAACTCTCCGATGTTGTTCATTATGCGGTTTGACATCTTTCTCCATAAGAGGAGAATGTGGGAGCGACTTGGATCTCTGGGTACTGATGAAACTAAATCTCAATACTGGTAAGCTTGATATACCTGTACCTCAACGCTCCTTAAGTCTAGGAGGTTGTAAGTAGAAAAACGTATTGGGGAAGCTATGGAATTTCCCAAACGTTTATACTCTTACACAAACATAATTACCAATAGAAGAGGAATATCCCTGCATTGTGGGGAGATAGTAGGACTGAATCATTATTGGAGGACGATTACAGTAAAACACAGATATTCTAAAATCAATTGTGCAATGTATATACCGTAGGGGTGCCCTCCTCCCAGTTCACAACCCCCATAGATACTCTGAACACGAAAACCGTTAAGGAAGCCAATGTATTTGGTCTGCTAAATAAGCTTGATATGAGCAAATCCATGGGACTCGGTGAAATACATCGTGGGATACTAAAAACATTAGCAAATTTTTCTATCTAAAAAACATCATACTATGCTTTATCTTCAGAACAGATACGAGACATGGACCTGAGGACTATCGACTTGACCAAAGTGGTTGTTAAAACTTTAGAAAAGATAGTTCGTAGGTGTTCGCATGAACAAACGTACATTAAAGGGAACAACTCTACGGAGGCTCGGTTCTCCAACATCATCGAAGATCTGGGATTATTCGAAAATGTGGAGTTGAGGACTCGGTGAAGAAATAGTTAGACGCCGTCACGCCTAGACTTCATATTTACAAACGAAGAGTTACTCAATGACAACCTCTCAAACGTGACTCCCCTTGGATAAAACTGATCATGCCACGATAGCCTCCGGTTTAAGCAGCAAAAGTAAACTATAACATCCTACTAACAGCAGGCTTGGAAATAAAAAAACGGTTGAATGAGTCAGATTTACTGTCCAATCTACAGCAGGTGAACTAAGAGTTCTCCTTCAACTGGGTGTGGACACTCATTGCGATTATATACTCCACATGATTTTATGTATTACAGTCTGTCCGATAAACGGTTCCGCAAAGTTACAAGCAGCGTACTGTCATTGGCGATCTCATTCTTCGACAGTCAGGATACAAACGGCAGTACTAGGCGGAATACAAACGAATCAGTGAAAACAGCACATACGAGAAGTTCAGAAAAAGGAGCCAATGCACAAAAGCAATAAGGAAGAACAAGCTTCATTATCAGATATGTCGAATCGATGAAGTTGTCTCCAATCCGAAAAGCATTATACGTCATCCCTCCCCTCTTTGACAAGCCAAAATCGGGGTGTCCCAATTCCTAGGTCATAATGTTCCAACCTACAACAGCGGTGACGCCGCTAACCATTTGTCAGAAGGGTACATTCAGACATGATACCCGTCCCACACTAACTACATCTACGAGAGCTTCATTTGTAAATCGAAAAGATTCTTAGAACTGAACCTAAGAGCTGAGTTGGTTTTTTGGGAACTGCAGCACCTAAACAATGACGCTTCTCTAGGCCCGGATATGTTTCATTCTGCTATACTGAAGGACTCGACTTCAATCTTGGCAAAATGACCAAGCGAGATCTCACATTCGCTATGTCTAGACAAGGTATCAGAAAATCGGAGTCTGGAACAAATTAAACCAATTTTGAAAAGAGGTTGAGTCAGCAAACCTTCAAGCTAGTGGCCAGTAACATTTCTCGAAGTGTCATCAAAAATTATTATGTCCCTGATATGCGACAGTCTGCGTGACTACCTAATCCCCATAAACTTCATTTCACTTCCGTGGCACGGTTTCAGGAAGAGTCATTGCCATACAACCAACCCGCCGACCGTGTTGGACAGATAAACTAACATCCTTGGTTGCAAGGAAAAGAGTGATATCACATACCCTGGTTTCGCAAAGGCTTTTGGTAATGCCAGTCACATATGTCTCATAAATAAGCTCAAACTGTTAGATATCAAATCACCATTGATTGATTGGCTGAATTCACGTCCAAATAGTCGAATTTTTAAGGTCGGAGTAAGCTTCACGTTTTTAGGCCACAGAGTGTCCTAGTGGGATCCTTCATAGTTCAGTCCTAGAATCCCTTCCTTCCTTAATTTATACAAATGACTTTGGAAAAACACCAACAAAATTACCTTTAACGCTTCAAAGTGTAAAGCAATCCACCGAAAACATGCTTCAGATTTCATATACAACTTAGGTAACTCCTCATCAAATTGAAAAAGATCTGAGAGTGTTGGCATCCTATTATCTGAAGTTTTACTCCAACTGGACGAGGAATCCTTTCCGAACAAACCTTGCACTATTAACGTTTAAGCACTCTGATGGTTAGTTCAACGGTAGGACTTTCCGCTTAATCTTCAACATTTATATTCCACCCCATTTACAACATAGAAATATAGTGTTTCCCTCATCATTCCAAAAGGATAAAAGCACATTAGAATGTATCAAACGGCGAACCACTAAATCAGTTCAGGGACTCAAACTCAGGCCTTGCGAAGAGTGCTTCAAATCACTTAACCTTTGTACATAATGTGTAGGCGGCTCAGAGGTGACCTTGTAGTGACTCACATTCATCACGAGAACACGACTGGTTTAATAAAAACAATTATTATTATAACCAACTGTACCAGTGTTCATTTTAATGTGCTTTTGTTTGACTGTGCTAATGACAGCTATATTGTGCTTCCATTCTTATACTTACACTTTGATTGTATCTTCGCGCGAATTCGGTTACGTTCTGCAACCAAGCTTGTATCCTGGCACGATCTCGGTATCCTTCCGATGCCACGAGATCGCCAGCTAATAAACCTCGACTTGGTCCATTAATTGCCTTTTGATATTTGGCTTCTCGGGGATTTTATGGAGTCATTTGGAACGAGCTTCTTACGCCTTCTGATTCACTTGGCACGTGTTTCTTGGTAGCGGTGTTCATAGTTAGTTTCAACTCGACGCCACGCTACAATTGGTGATCCCAAAGTTTGGAACACGCCTCAACTTCTGATCAAATCTTCCAAAGAAGCCAATTCGGTGAGTCTATGATTTACCTATCCACGTCTGTCGTATATTTTCATATTTTTTTAATATATAATATACTCGACATGACGGATAACGATAAGAATAGTATTAATATAATAGACTCATATGTACGTGTACCGAATCCTTGTTATTTTTTATTCGCGTGACGATGAATTCCACGCTCTACTCGAGAAATTTTCCCCTACTAACTATTCTCCTCGCTGACCCGGCTGCTTGGTACGGAATGCATACGCATAAGCATATCCGTCTAACATCCAGCACCAAATGGTTAAGTAAACGGTTTCACTGCCAATTTAAAAGTGCTCTACGAGCACACGAAAATGGCAACTGGCACGAAACCTTACCGCTCGTTCTTTTAGGGATCAGAACGAGCTTAAAGGCAGATATCCAATGTTCCGCCGCTGAACTTGTATACGGCACGACATTGCGTCTGCCCGGAGAATTCTTCACACCACGGAGCAGACCTAATTTCGGTAAATCAGATTACGTCCATCGACTGTCTGCATTTATGCGAACGCTGTCTCCGGTGTCAACTCGAATACAACATCGACAGGTCGCTCTCCCTCGAGAGTTATCTACCTGTTCACATGTTTTTGTACGAGTAGTTTCGGTACGCAAACCTTGGCAACAACCTTGCGAAGGCTCTTTTCACGTGATCGCTCGTCACGAAAAGACCTTCAAGGTTGATCGACATGGCCGCGTCGAGATCGTCAGCATTGATCGTCTCAATCCAGCACACGTCGATGATAGTGCCCTATCTGACAACCTGAGATTCAATGCTAGACCTATCAAACCTAGCGGGATCCTTAAATCTTCTTCAGATCCCACGCTAGATACATCTGAGACCTCATTCTCACGTCCCGGTCAACAGCACGCGTCATCTGCACCGTCTACGGACGAGACGACAGTCTCACGTCCAGATCAGCAGACCACGCCGCCTCTGACCTCGGATGAGATTGCAGGCTCACGAGACACGAACGAGACTACCGTCTCACGTTCCGGTCGCCGAGTACGGTTACCCGTACGCTTCCGCGACTAGTCGCACAGTGAACAACCGATACGGTGTAGGATTATTCCTATACTACACGCATGCTACACTCTTTTTTTATTTTCTTTTTGTTTCCTGAGCCTACGCCTTCGATCACCTCCGTTTGGTTCCGTCGACTTCAGTCAACTTTGGCGAAACCTGGCCTGATCACCCATGCTCTTGTCAACGTACTCAGTCGATATATTGGTTTCGAATGCTTAGCATAAACTTGGTCTCGAACTTTGTCAATATGGTCGCTTCTGGTTCATCGGCTCCATGTGGTTTCGTCCTACGTCTGCAGCGTTTCTGGTGCGCACCCCTACGAACGCCCTCTTCAGATTCTGGATACAAACCACTCTGGTGTAGCATGTCAACTCAAGCAACAAATACAGCACATCGCTCCTGGTACCGTTCTCCGAAAACGACCTTCGTTGGCAACTCGACGATCAACGATCGCTTTCCTGTTCGCCAATCTTTCCGTCCTACAATCGCTCGTCAGCCGATCAGTCCCACGATTCAAACCGCTATTTATCGAAAGTGTAAACCCTTTCTAGCGGGGGGCTCCTGTAGTGACTCACATTCATCACGAGAACACGACTGGTTTAATAAAAACAATTATTATTATAACCAACTGTACCAGTGTTCATTTTAATGTGCTTTTGTTTGACTGTGCTAATGACAGCTATATTGTGCTTCCATTCTTATACTTACACTTTGATTGTATCTTCGCGCGAATTCGGTTACGTTCTGTAACCAAGCTTGTATCCTGGCACGATCTCGGTATCCTTCCGATGCCACGAGATCGCCAGCTAATAAACCTCGACTTGGTCCATTAATTGCCTTTTGATATTTGGCTTCTCGGGGATTTTATGGAGTCATTTGGAACGAGCTTCTTACGCCTTCTGATTCACTTGGCACGTGTTTCTTGGTAGCGGTGTTCATAGTCAATTTCGACTGGACGCTACGCTGCAACCTAATGACTTACAGCAACCTCGGCATTTCCTTAAGTACCTGTTTAAACTCGGTCTCAATACAAACCTTGGGAATAACACCCACAAACTGGAGACACAACACAGAAGAATGAACTGTACTCACACCACTTACTCCCTAAGAGTAGTCAAATGGTGGAATTCATTGCCACCATCGACTTTCCCGTCTAATCTCTAACTAATAGAATTTATTACTTCAACACGTCACTGAAGCCTCGTCTGTTTATGCCTTTAAAACTGAGTAGGATCAAATGGGAGGTACCCGTTGCTAGGACTGACGAAGGCCACCTAGCCTGCTGTTCCTTCCAACTGAAACTCACAATACTGAGTACTCACAAAATATATTCTTAAGATACAGAATAGAAGGGACTCGAAGCTGCACTTGGACCAGTCGCCCGATTATTAATTGGATTTTTTTTATCATACTTTGGGACAGAATATTTCGTTTGTTCTAATCAGTTCACATACGCTATCAAAATTCGTTGCGCTTCGCGCACCATTTGATTAATCGATTTCTATTCCTGCCCCAGAAGCTTACTGTATGTCACAGTCGTTAACCCCGACGATGAATTGATGTTTAGTTGTACAGTAACTTTTAACAATACGTTCCTTTCCATTTCTAGCCAGCAATTAGATGAGTTCAGAAGCGACTGACTCATTCTCCCTATTATGGGGAAGTCACAATAGAACATTTTGGGGAAATGGTGCAAAACCCCTGAAATTCCTTACTGTTATTTTGACAAGAGTTCCATGAACATCAACTTCGTTTTAGTTTATGTGAAATTTCATCTTGTCAGCAGTAGTTTTACTACTATTTTCTCTGTTCTCGAACCATATTTTAATGAAAAATTCTTCGAATTTGAGATACCTATCGTTGTGTTTTCTTTCCAGTTTATATCACATTTTGATGGTTTTATCGGGATTTTCTCGGACCTTCTCAGATATCAGTTCTGGAGATGGAAGCCTCAGTAGATCCCTTCAGGATAATAATCAAAACCCTACCATGAACAGAGCTTTTGGAATTTCGAGAGGCAAACCTAAGTAGGTGTCATACTGTTCAATTACTTCTCAGTTCTAAAACTCCAACGAGAACTCCATCCCACAGTGGCGTAGTCTCAGATGAGTCAAGTAACTCCTTCAAAAGGACACCTAACTCTTCCATTAAAAAAATACCAACGGTACACGAATGTGATGGTGACAGGTGACAGAAATCTTTTGATCTTACTTTGTAATAGGTTTATCCCTAACAGGTCATCAACAAACATGTGCAGGGCGCGACATGTAATTCGAAAATGCAACGAAGATCCATCAAATGAAGAGGCTGTTGATTATCAACAAGCCGTAGCAGATAGTTTAAACACTAATGACTGTCCTGGAAGTCGGATCCTCCGCTATAATGCTGCTGTTCGAGATAGTGGTAATGTACACTGCACCACAAATAGCTCTGTATCCGCTGTAAAGGGACTCTATAAACGCACTATACCTCAGGTAAGAACCAAAACATTCAGACTTTTACTCAAGTCCATTACTACAGATACAAGCGTTTGATTAGTTTGTTGAGTAACTGGGGATCGGCACTATATGGCGGTCACTTTTATTTACACGACTAGCAAAATTTTTCATATGGGTGGTTTGCAATTAGGTTCGTAATGCTCTATTTGATTTGGGAAATAGGATTAAGATAGGTAGGTTTTGATGCATCTCTATCTTTAGTATTATGGGCTCAACGGTGAGGACGTTTTAGCTTTGTCTTCGAAATTTATTTGTTCCATCGTTTTCTACTGTAAAAGCTTTTAGAACTATAACTACAGTCTTCCGTAGGCATGGTCTTTAGCTTCAACGAGGTACTACTTTTAATGGTATGAAAATAACTTCTACCCATGCGAAGACCTACAGGTGTTTGTCCCCTCCTTCATATTAAGTCAAAGCGTCTCTGTCACATAGCGTCTCTTTGCGCTGGATAACCTTCCAATCCATTCGAATGGCGGAACATTAACGAATGTTCACTTTCATTTTAAAGTCAGTGCCTAAAACGGGATTTCATGAAATGCGTTAATGTAAAAATTTATATTTATATGCTTGATGAGAATATAGGTCTAATGGATGCAGAGGACCACCCAAGGGAGTTAGGAAACCCTGGTTACAAACAAATGGTGCAGTCGGTTCAGGATCATAAAGGAACGGATGCTGTACGAGTCTTTTTTAGTTACTGTTTTATTTATTTGAACACATATATTGGGAACAAAAGAGCGCCAATATATATGCGCCACACAAAACAATGAAAAATCGAAGAGAAAAAAAAGAGAACAATAACGAAGAGATTGGTGTAAGGTAGTGTGGTAGTAATGAGGGAACGGAAAGGTACAATCGCAAGAAATCTTTCAGGTAAGGAAGATACAACCACTTTTATGAAGAAAGTAAAAGAAGGTTACAGCAGGGTCGCCACTGGCTTCTATTCTGGGCCATATTTGATAACGTCTCTAGCCACTGTGTTGCACCATCTATCGGACCCCAACCAGGGAGTCTTGAAGGACCATCAGAAGCCAGTCCTTTGCAGCTTTCTTTCATGCCACGACACTATGTCATGCGCTGACCACCTCTCCGCTTCTTCCAACCAGTCCCAGAGTCGGCAAATAATGCAGGCCGTGTAATTCTCTGGAGCGACATTCGTAGAACATGTCCAAGCCACCGAAGTCGGTGTTTCAAGATGGTGACACCAATTGCATTATCGTCTATGTGCCCGAACACACGATGCCGAACCTCTGCATTACTGACATGGTGTTGCCACTGGATGTCAACAATCATTCAAAGACAACGATGATCAAACACAGAGAGTCGTGTAACATCCTCAACTCGGAGAGGCCAGGTTTTACAAGCGTAGAGCAAAACTGCTCTCACCGACGCGTTGTAGATCCGAACTTTTACAGCCAGACTGACATCACGAAGGCGCCAAAGATGGCCCAGATTGGCATAAGCCGGTCTGGCTTTCACTTTATGTGTATTGATCTCATCACTCACACCCCCACCAGCACTTATGCAGCTACCCAGATACACGAACTTCTCGACTACTTCTATCTGCTCACCATCCAGGGTGAGTACAGGATTAGAATCCTGGCAGTCTTGTAGAAGTACTTTGCACTTCGAAGGTGCAAAGCACATACCATACCTACGGACACTGATTGCCAACTGATTAAGTGCGGATTGCATGCCTTGGGCATTATCGCACAGTAAGACAATATCATCCGCATACTCAAGGTCGAGAAGTCTTTCTCCAGGCAACGGATCCATACCACCGTTACTTACATCCATCAGAGCTGTTTCCGGAATTTCATCGATGGCAAGGTTGAAGAGGAATGGTGAGATTGGGCAACCTTGTCTAATCTCACTGCTCGAATGGAACAATGAAGAGAGGTGGTTGTATGCCCTCACTCTGCCTGAAGTGTTTGTATATATGGCCTTTAGGATGTTAATAAACTTCTCAGGCACACCCTTCTTCAATAGACAATTCCAGAGAACAGTCCTATCCAACGAATCGAAGGCAGCCCTGATGTCAAGAAACACTACGATTGTTGGCCTTTGAAAAGTATGCCGGTGTTCTAACATTTGGCGGAGGGTGAAGTTATGATCAATACATCCTCGACCAGGACGAAACCCAGCCTGCTCCTCGCGAGTCAATCTTTCTCGGGTTTTGAACAACCTACGAAGTATGACGGAAGCCAATAGCTTGAACGCAATCGGAAGTAGACTTATCCCCCGATAGTTGTTTCAGGAACGACGTGAACCCTTTTTAAAGATAGGGACAACTATCGACTCATTCCATGACGTTGGTACACTTTCTAGTTCCCAAACCTTTGTAAACGACGTCGTCAATTCCTTAGTCAAAAAGTCACCACCATCTTTAAAAAGAGCCGGAGGTAAGTCATCTGGGCCAGGTGATTTGTAACGCTTCAATAGTTGGAGCTCCTTGCGGACTTCCTCCTCGTTTGGTGGATCAGTCGTCACCGGCCATGGAGGGGAGGACAGTCTGACCGATGTTGCCGGAGCAGCAGGCCAGTTGAACTGCCCTTCGAAAAATTCTGCCCATCGTCCAAGACGTCGATGGATGTTAGTCATTGGCGTCCCGTCATCCTCACAGATTGTTTCGCTCACACCAGACTTCTTGCTGCCAGTGGCTCGGATGAGTTGAAAGAGCTTCCGGTAATTACCAGATGCAGGTGCTGCTTCCAGCTCATTAGCACGCTTCGACCACCAGGCTTCTCGGTCCTTACGCAAGCTTTGCCCAATTTCACTGCGTAACATCCTTCGTTTATGGTCAAACTCACGGTCACCCGGAGTAGACCGACGGGCTTCAATGAGTTGTAAGGAACCTGCAGAAACCCTGAGGGTGAATAGTGTCGTAAATAATAATAATAATAATTTGATTGTTAGTTGAAGCAAGTAAAGTAGTTTCCATAATTATAGGCAGTTCATCATATTTGCGTGTGGGCTGTGATACTGCCCGGTACCCAGACCGAAGCAGGTGGTTATCTTAGGGGGCCACACCCCGAGCCTTTGACCTAAAGGTTTAACCCACAAGGCAGTGGAGCATCGTAAGGAGATGCAGTCTCATGGTAGCCGGTGACCAACAATTGGTTCATACGCCATTTGTTCCCGCAGGATACTGGTGCCCTTGTGCACCATTTGTTTGGGATCCGGTTAAAGCGTCGGACATTCGCTTTTCGTCCTCTCATTTTTGTAAACAACACCCCTGGTGAGAGAAGGCAATGAGTAGGACTTCCCTGGCAGAGGCTGTATACGTGTGGCCGTGTGAGTGTATTTCGAGAGGGAGAGCGGACTCTCCCCACTCTCGGCCGTACCAGGGCATTCGGGGGCTAGCATAGGACTGCGTCTCCTAACACTGCTCCATCTATTTGTGGACTAGACCTCTAGATCATTGCACCGAGAAGTCTCCCAAGAAGACCAAATACCCGGGTAGTAGCCTAGCCCACACAAAAATATGTCAAGATAATGTTTTGAGGAAACTGTTCTGTTCTCCGCTACATCACTCACTCAAACAATACTTGCAGCAGCTTCATAAAGAATGAAAATGTTTTACTGTCTTCAGTCTTCATTATTTTCATTGCGTACCTTTACCTTCCAAACCAATTAGCGTCTTATCTCTGGTAATTGTTCTGTCCTGTCCAAACTGTCTCAAGTCACTGATTAGTCTAATTTATGGGTGCTTCCGCGGAATCCGGTTTTGCTAACACGTGTTACACCAAGTTCCAGGACATATGCAGCACTAATCAATTGAATTCTTATTAACAGGTCAAGTGCGCTTTGACTCAAAAGTCACATCAGTGTGGGAAGAAACTACGGTGGAGAACAAAACCTCGTAATCTCCACCTGTGCGCAGGCATTACAACAGGAACACAACGAGAAATGAGGTTCACTATCGAGTAAATGGTTTTCACCCCCTTGTACCAATGTCTGTATGTTAAAATAAATAAAGTAAATGGTCTTCTCAAACAAGTATATTGAAAAATTTTTTAGTCCTGATCGAAGATTTGAATTTACAGGTCGTAAATTTAGGTACAAATGTGAACATACAACCATCGACAACACTTTAGAAGTAGTTCTAATAATTATTTAAATAAACATTGGTACAAGAAGGCACCAAATTGATACGCGACACATAAATCATTCCTTTTGTGTGAGGGCTGGGATACTGTCCGGGTGCCCAGACCCAAACAAGTGGCCGCGCCCGGGGATTCCGACCTAAAAGTCTGATCTACAAGGCAGGAGATGCAGTCCCATGGTAGCCAGTGACAAACAATAGGTTCATACGCCATTTGTTTCCTTAGGATCCTGAAGCCCATGTGCACCAGTGGCTTTAAACCAAGGTTTACCAGCTTGCTTACGTAGATCCTCCATATCTACCAATCCGGTTAGATCGCCGGACATTCGCTTTTCATCCTCTCGACTTCGTAAACAACACCCCCGCCGCGAGAAGGCAGTGAGTATGACTTCCCTGACAGTGGCTGTATGCATGTGATAGCATTTCGAGAGAGTGCTGACTCTCCCCACTCTGCCATACCAGGGCATTTGGGGGCAGGACTTTTCGACCTTAAGTCTGCGAAAGATGTCTTACACTGTGACAGTACACAAGCTATCCAAATCCCACTTAACTACTTGGCAATGTCCGTAAGTCTTGCACGTACTTTTTACTTCCTAAATTAGAAGTGCTTCTAAAGATTACGAGAAGCCTGTGTCAGTACTTACTCTTTGTAATGAGTCATTAAAAGTAGCTGGAATGTTCGTGTTTCTCTGTAGTTGTGTGAGTGCTGGTGGTGACACGAATGATGAAATGAACCCACGTGTAGTTAAATCATACCAATCTCAGTCATTTTTGACAATGTTGATCTGGTTTTTAATGCGTCAATAATAGCAGTTTTGTTCTGTGTTTACAAACCCTGGCGTCTTCTAGTTGAAGATTCCAAATGACTGTTTGATCATTGTTATCGCCGAAGGGTAGCTGATATCCAGTCTCAACATCATGTTAGTAATGCGACGGTTCGGTTCAGATAGCAACAATGGTTTATATGGTGTCACGATCTTGAAACACTGCCTTCCCTGGTTGGGATATGTGTTACGAATTTCATCCCAACGGTTGCAATATAGTGCGTTAATCGCAGATGCTAGTTATGAGATCGCGTCTTTGAACGGAAGAAATCTGTGTGAGATCGGCATCTTTCTGTTCATCGCGGTTCCCTAATTTGAGTACGTAGAGATCGCACAATCTAGTGGCTTGAGACTGTCAGCTATAGCTCAGGATAGAAACTAGTGACGGTACTGCTTTGAATTCCCTTGACATTCGTCATAAAAATATAAGTGGAACTCCCACAACTGTAAGTTTGTTTCTATTTGTAATTTCAAGTGAACTGTTCCTCGTATTTTATACTACTCTCGTTTGCCTATTTCGATTCATTCCATCCATCACTTTATGCTTTCACTTTCATATTTGCGTGGCACATATTTATTTTGGCGCTCGGTTGTAACAATTTTCATTTTTATTAAATAACAAATCTGAAGCATGCAGTATTAACTATGATGTTACATTTACTGGCATTACTAGTAATTTACGTTTTGATTTATTTCCTTATGGATTTTTCAAGTAGCTCTACAACTATGTTTGGTAGTTATTGCACAAATTTTGAAATTATTTCATCCTTTAGATGCCAGAGAAAGTCCTTGATGCTCCAGACATTATTGATGATTTTTATCTAAATATTTTGGACTGGTCTATGGACAATATTTTGGCTGTTGCGTTAAATCAAGAAGTTTATCTGTGGAACTCATCTTCAGGAGATATCACTTGTCTTATGTCCTGTGGTTTTGACGATGAATATGTTTCGAGTTTAGAGTGGTCTCCTGATTCTCCCAATATTATTGCCATTGGTCTTAGCGCTGGTCGTGTTCAACTTTGGGATGCTTCTAGCCAGTCACTAGTACGCACGATGCGACTTGGAGGTGTCAGTTCTGCCGGTCGCGTACCAGCCGTCACTTGGCGTGAATATTTAGTTTCTAGTGCGTCTAAATCAGGACATATTAGACATCACGATACGCGGATCGCTCATCATGAAGTCGGAGTTGGTGATTTTCATACCCAGGTAGGTTTCAACTAACAATCTTACCGTGTGTTCTGTTCTGCCCACGTGTAGCCATTTATGAGAACCTGGTTATTGATTTCCACCTACTTGAATATTTGTATTTCACTGTCCTAACGATCCTTTGCTCTTGGGTCTTAGACGTTTTATATCATTCATTTTGTGAAATATTTGTTATTATATATGTTCGGGAGTGCCCTTAAATTATTCTGGATGCTTAGTCTTAATAATTTTTCATGACACCAAAAACCTTAGCATTTTATAATGTACCGGTTTTATTCTACAACTTTATAATCTTCGTTTTATTGCTCAGGAGTGTTACAACCTATGTCAACTAACTATTTTGCAAAGTTCCATTTAGATAAATTCAGTCTGTTTCGTAACGTTTATTTCTATGGTTGTCTCAGAATAGTTGTCTACTTCTCGTAAGGCAGAGATGTTTTCGTTATCTACCAAATCGATGATTTGGTTTATTTCCTTGAAGACCGGACCAGATTACTGATTACAAAGCTAGGACTACTTTAGCTTCATTTACAGAGGTCATTATACGTATTTTCTACTTGTCTTTTATTTATTAAACATTCATTTTTGTGGTATTGTGTGCTCAGATTCTGACCAAAATTCATGTTAACATGACAAATCGTTTGCCCTAGTATGAACCTATTGTTTGTCACTGGCTACCATGGAACTGCATCTCCTGAGGTTGCTCCACTGCCTTATAGATCAGACCTTTAAGTTGAAGGCTCCGGGCGTGGCTCCCTAAGGAAATCACTTGTTTCGGTCTGGGCACCCGGGCAGCATCTCAGCCCACACACAAATCAAGTGACTTGTGTTGCACATATGTATTCGGTGCCCCTTTGTACCAATATTTATCCTTTCAGATAAATAATTAAAAGGACTTCGTAAAAATAGTAGTTGGTATCCACTGGATATCAGTTATGTGATATTTCGGTTACCAATATTATTGTCTTTTAAACAAGTGTATGCTACTGGAAAACTGCATCAGAATGTTATACACTTGGTACACAGGTTCGAGAATCCCATTGGACACCATGGTGTTTTTCAAGTAGAGGATTTTGTGTAAGTGTTAGATGGTTGGAGATAATCCATAGGAAATTCTCGACCTATGTTTCGTACTATTTAAGACTCTTCAGCAAACCATAACCGTAGTCTTGCGAAGACTGATATCCCCTTAGGGATTCGGTCCCACGCCACGCAACACAGCTTGATAAGTTATCAGTGAGCTGTTTTGCCCGTGACTGAACTGTGGGACTGGGATACTCACCATTGTTTTGTCACAGTTTAGAGACCACTGCCATATTTGTCTAGCCCTTTAGTGTTAATCAAATTCTACCGATCAAGTTACACTGTGACCACCAGTCTAAGTGACTTGACATCGCTTCCACTAAATGGAGATGTTAGCTGGAGGTAATTGACAGGAGATCTTAAACATATGTCTCGTATTATTTGGTACTCGTCAATGTCCTGTCGACTACTTCTACTTCACATCTCGATTTAATGCACGCGATTTCAAGTCATTGTAACTTGATCGATAGAATTCGATCAACATTAAAGGACTAGACAAACATGGCATTTGTCCCTAAATGGTGATTAATCAACTGTAATATTTCGGTGTTTTAGAACTGTGTGCTTGTGTTTTCATCTTATTTGCGTTGTTATTACTTAAGTCAAACTCTGTGTGGTTCTGTAATATCGAATTTGTTTCCTTCGCTGGATATGACAAAAACCATTGGATTTATTTAATACGTTCATAAACTATGCAAATAATTGACTACTATGACTTAACTACTTTGAACAAAATTACGTCTATCCTGTTCTTTTTTGCTGTCTCATTAACTAGAGTAAAAACACTAGTTTTATAGATGTTTTTTGATTTTGATCAAAATATTTTAAGTCTGTCGATTGCGTATCAAATAAAAATGATTAGAATGTTCAAACTAAGTATTTGTTATTCATACAAATCATCGTGAAAATGTATTGAAATTTCATGGATAATCCTCACACTGAATAATTAACTGTAACACGATTTCTGCGTTATCGAAGATTGCACATCCCCAACATTGTTAAACCTTTTTTTTCATTTTTTTCCGATTGTTTCTTTGCTTAATATTTACTCTCCTTTTACTGTCTAGTCGTAGTATTCTTCTTATAATTGAGCACCTGTTATGAGTATTAAACTACTTGTCAAACATTTTAACAATTTTATTATTATTATTATCAATCCTTAAACTACATAGTCTAATTCGTTCATTCTAATATGTATTATCTTATCCACCTTATCTTCTAATTGTTTTATTACTCGTCACGAATGCTCATTTTTATGATTGTTACGTTGACACTAACTAGTCTATACTATCTTATTTAGCAAGTGCAATTCTCCATGTTAGCATATGAAATAGACTATGTTCGATGATGATGATGATTGATGATGAAACTATTCGATTTAATTAAATATGACTAAATTGGTTTAAACTGACAATCTCACCTCTGAAATCTCTGTTTAATAAATGTCAAAAACAGGCTTGCCAACTGACTGAGTAATTGTATAGATATGTATTAGTAAATCAAAGCTATGACTTATGTATAAAATTTTTGAACCAAACTAGTGTAACCATGAATGATTTGTCAGATAGTAAATAATTTACAATCAGTGGTTAATATAAAATTTGAAAATCAACTAATGGCTTATTTTTGCCTGTTTTAACAGACGTGATCGGCTATCACCTAATGATCTTTTCTTCTGATTTTGCTTCGCTACATTTCCATTTGATATATGTTCATTTTGTTTCCATCCTTTTATGCTTATTTTCTAGGAAGTTTGTGGATTGAGTTGGTCACCAGATAAACGTTTCCTTGCATCAGGAGCAAATGACAACTTTGTTTGTATTTGGCCTTTTAGTGATATCTCAAAGCCTGAACATGTTCTAAGGGATCACCAGGCTGCAGTTAAGGCATTATCATGGTGCCCTTGGAAACCAAATCTTTTATGCACAGGTGGGGGAACATCGGATCATACTCTACGCTTTTGGAATGCAACAACTGGAGCTTGTGTTAAATCAGTTGATGTAGTGGCCCAGGTAAGCTTAGGTTCATCCAGTAACTGAAAAACTTTCCTAAAATAGTTTTGTTTATGAAAGCGAGGAAGCCAGTATCCACGGGCCTTAAGGCTACTTTGTTACTACGTTTGTCGAAGACGTTAATGAATGATAGCTTTTCATGATCCTGCATCCAAACTCGATGAAAGTCAAAATACACATAAAACGTTAGAAATGATGTAAGGTAGCATTTCGCTCAAGTTGAAACAAATATCTAATAGTTCTCACTAAATTTAATGTAGTTTCTAATAATAGTACTAAATATTTAAAAAAGTACTTAGAAAAAGTGGAACTAGTTAGTAAAATCTAGTGGATAAAACACTCAATCAGTAGGTCGTAGGTTTAGCTCGCACTTCACTTGGCTTGAAGATGAGTTCATAAACTCATTATTTGGCAAATTAAGCATGTTACGTAGCCACGTACAGGAAAGTATTCTTCATAATATTTTAGTTATTTTCAATGTAGATCAAAAGCGAATAACCCCTTTATGTAAACTGTAAAAAGAAAATCTATGTACAATACAGAAATGCTGGTATATTCAGCACAGTGCTTAACGCCCTGCATCAGTTTGGATATCCAATTAATATTATTAGATCTTACACTTAAAAACGTCCCGCTTAAAGTTATGTACATCAATATGTACTTGGTAAATAAGTTACATTCACTGTCTAACACAAGTTTTGTCGAATTCGGCAAATTCCGAACATCTTTTCACTCAATCAACAGCCGTTACTACTCTGTGAAGTACGAACGCAATAGCCGCATTTAAAATATTGTAACCTAAAATTTTCACACTTCACATAGGTCTTTAATACTTTTCTTCAGAATACTGTATTATTTGTATTGTAGTGTTTTTGCAAAACATTCCAAATCTCGAATTTTCATGACAAGTGTTTACATGATTGCTGAAGTATTTCACCGGAAATACATATTTAAAGATAAATTTTCCAACATTATTAACTAAACCAGTGGCTTAGTGGGGATATATCTTCTCACTCGGCTAGTTTTGGGGTAGAATCTTACACCGCCTACTTCAATTCGGTCTAGCCATTATTGTCACTGACTCAAAGCTATGTTATACAAACTTGTACTTGATGAGTTACGTTTTCAGTGGCAAACTAATTGGGTTTTCCGGTTCAAATAGACGTACATTTATTGTCAAAGTATCATATTTTGTAGAAACAGCTTAAACCAGCAAATGATACTAAGAAGAAAGTTTACTATTGCAAAAACAATATATTTTCAATAGTGTTTACAGTTTTCATATTTCACGCCACATCAGTACATCGACCATATAAATGATCGACAATCTTCATCGATTTTGGTCTCACTAATTGTTTTAATCGTTTTTAATATCCACACTAACATATATCATATTACCATGTTTTTAAGACAATTGTGGATAATTAGTTACTTTTTAAACTAATTTATTTCATTTGACTATTTTTATTCGGACTAAAAAACCCAGTATTTTGTCGTAAGCTTCATTTCTGACTGACAAATTTATCTAACAAGTAAAAATGTATGATAAGTCATTTTTCATTCATTCATTTGATTTCTAGGTTTCTGGTATTATATGGAATACGGAATATCGTGAAATTTTAACTAGTCATGGGGATCCTCTTAAACAACTGGCTATATGGAAATATCCAGAAATCACCAAAATTACTCACTTAGGTAAGAAATTCTGGTAAAAGTTAAAAAAAGATGATGATTGTGTACAGATGCAAAATTCAATATTGAATATGAACTTAAACACTACAATATGCAGATCCTATTTTGTTTTGAGGTATTGCCAGCGATGATGTTCGTTCATATTTGCTCCGGTTGATTTTCACTAAATGATTGTTTAATACATTGCATCATATCTATTTCTTACATAGTATATCACTCGTGTATGTACGTTGTTAATTTATGTTATGTTGGATTGGTATGATACTAAGGAACTCATTAGTTCCTACTTTACTTCATACGTGAACTGAAATTTCTCACAGCTGATCCAAAATGAAATTGTATTAATCAATTTAAAATTACTTATTTCTTTATTAGTGTGGATGTGTATGTGATTTAACGTGATTTCATTTCATTAAACATAGTTGTCTTGGGTTTTTAAGTGTACTACCATGAAGACGAATAGTATCCACTAAGCCAATATTCATTAGTGTGTATCACTCCCCGCAACACATCTGCTTTCACAAAAGAAGAGAAATCCAAGCACTAATATTTTGAAAGCTACATCAGTTTTTTTATGTACATGAAAGGTAAATGAACAGTTCAAGTAGTTTTGTTAGTCCTTACATTATTTAAATTACAATCCGAATTGTTGAGCGTTTTATCAATTGATTTTCTTCCTGTTTAGTAATGGAAATAATAAAGCTCACATACCTGATATCACTAAACTGCATAATTCAACTGTCTATTAAGCTAATAAATCACTAACAACAGGTATTGTTGTAAATTAGTTATATATTGTATGTATTTCCTGACATGTTTATAACGTTAAAATGAACTAAAAGCATGCGGTTCTACACTTGCAAATAAAACTTATTAGTAAAATGTTCTGTGACGTTTTGACTAACTAAAATTTCCTGTCGTTAAATCTTAACATACGTATGTTTTGGTTGTAATGAAAGCATTCACAATACAGTTTTCATGAATTTTTAAAGCATTTAAATGTAAGTTATTTGTGTTTTCCCAAATGTGCAGTCATTTGTGTTATGTTTGTGATCATAAAAAAATAATATACCTTCCTGTTCCAGAGCATCAAGGTCGTGTATTGTGTATCGCATCGTCTCCAAATGAAGAAATGGTTGTTAGCTGTGCATCTGATGAAACTTTACGTATTTGGCATTGTTTTCAAGTTGATCAAAATAAGAAACGTATTCATGAAAAAAGTCAACGACCTTCTGTCTATGCACGTGGTATACGGTAAAGTCATGCTGTGGAGTTCATTTGTGATTGGTGATTATGTCCTGCGCATCTTTTCCCCATGTTTATGTCAGTTTTTCAGTGTATAATCAATATTCACCTAACTCCTATGATGTAACTATCTGTATGTCGTTGCTTCAATGCATTAATTTAACATATGAAAAGAATATTTTATTTCATTATGTTTTCCTTTCTCTTTAGAAAAGAATGAAAACTGTATGTCCTCAATAAATGCCCCCATTGGTTTAAGTTAAGTTATCCCTTAAAGGTGACAAGTTAACATAGTTTTGTGCATTTTCATAGAATTCTTTAGATGTTGTCATGAATCTGACCCCCTCATTATTTATTAAAGGTAAATGCGTTGTGAGTAGTATTAGGTGCAGCCTTCCGAATAGTGTGGAGAAATGGTTAAATGTTTCAAGTAAAATAGATCACAATGGTACGTTCGGCCTAAACGTTTTGTATTTTGTTCGCTGCCCACTCAGATCGATTATGAAACAGTTAAATTTACTAGCTCAATCTTACTGGTTGATTCGTGTAATAAATTTTAACAAACCTTGGACTGTTTGTCTGCCTATCTTATTCAACTGTCCTGTTGACTTATAAATATCCGAGACACGTTGACTATTTGACAGTAGATGATTTACTCACTTCAGTGCAATGTAAGTTAGACCTGTCTAGTGCAATCCTCTATCTATTTTATTATTATGCAGTTGCTGGGTATTGTACTCTTAGTGCTATCATTAATCCGATGCAACTGCTGGTAATTGTAGTGCTGATGTCAATTTAATTCCAATGCAAGAAATACCAGATCTGATTCTTGTATTCATCCACTAACACTACTCAGTCAAGTTATTTCCATCCAGTCTTATTAGAATTCGGTATTCTTTATCGCTAGTGTGTCTCAGTCAATTCGATTTAGACTTACCTTCTGGAACATTCTCTTCAAATTGCTGATTCTACCCATCCATCAACGTTCAATTTAAAGATAACGGACATGTAATCCTGTTATTCCGAGCCGATAAGACTTCCTGATGCCTTTGTTACTGTAGCGAAAACGTCCTGGATATTCATAAATAAATATTATTATCAGTTATAAAACCATAATTATAATATTTTACAAAGGCCAAAAGTAAGGCATGTATTAATGAATTTGACAATGTTATGTGTTAAAAATGGTGGACGTTTGCATCTGTTACGATATATATACTTCAAAATTGTATTATTTGCAAATGAGAAAGGTCAGGATGATTTGGAGTAGTGTTCAGTCATAATAAGTATTATGGCAAAAATGAAAATGCAAAAAAAATTGTGTGAATAAAATGCATAGTAGGAGAATTTAATCTTGTCAATTGAGATAATAATAATAATAAGATTACTTTGGGAGGGCCCCTGTTCTCCATGTTTCAATGTCCTGTTTATTATTTTCCTTGGAAATATAATGACGTGACTAGCTTGCGTTTTCATTATGGCGACAAAGATTTTTTACGGGGTCTAATTTACTACCTTTATTTCAGTAAGTTAGTAGCTTCAAATACTTGTGAACCATTTAATATCCTCGAAATACTGATCAAATATTACTCATACTGTATTAAATAATTGTACGATTTGTTTTTTATTTGACAAGGCGTGGATGTTTAACTGTGCAATACCAGCAAGCAATAACTGATACAAAGATAACACACATTAATCGAAAGTTGTCATAAAGTATTGTTAATCCTAGCACAAGGCTGAGAAAAGTGAATGAAAAGTTTGTCCTGATTTAACAAAGTAAGGTCACACATCAGTCAGTTATTTAGCACTAAAGCTCATGTTGCTCAGGGTGTTCTGTTGTGATAGACGGTGTCCAAATGTGTGATACTGCTGCATGATTTGCTGCGTGTTAACACCGGAACTTGAGCAAAAAGTCAAGAAAGGTAGTGAAATTATAATGGGCTACCGAACAAAAGGCAGAAATGCTCGTTTGTATATATACAACTCTACGCCTTAGAAAACCAATCCATCCCTAAGTCAATTAAATGCACTTATTCTTTAGACCACTTCTGATCGGTCTCATTCGACCACTTTCAAACAGTGTCAGGGTCTGACAATCCCTTGTGGCCTGATCTTTTTTGCTCAAAATGACAATCAGTGAAACAATCTAGTGATAAGTTCGAGCTGAAGCGTTCTTTGTTCAACTTTAATTGCCTATCGCGGATGTGGTTTGCACTCGGCGTCGTGCATTTACTTCGAACATCAAGTTTGTACATCACGTCAGTGACTCTTCTTATGACGAAACACACTACCCAGGCTGGTCCCAACTGTCGAACTTTTCTTTGATATACTGGCAACCCATTAGGAAGCTGACGTTTTTGGGTTTATAATTTGGCTTTCTTCTCTGTGAATATATGCCATCGATGGGACACCAGATCTTCCGAACATTGATTGAACTATGGAGGCTTCTCTGGGTGAAAAACAACTCGGGATTATTCCGGACGAGTTCATCCGTTGTGTCCTCCCATTGTGACTTGATGAGAGCTCGCTTGTAAGTGCTGACAAAACTCTGCTTAACCGTTTGACTGGGATGGTGTGGTCACCATGTATGTGTAATTGTGTTCATTATGCAGAAGTTCAAGAAGACTTTAGAAATGAACTGAGGTCCATTCCCGTTCCCATCATGTCATCAACGACTACCCAAACGATGCAACTTTTGACGGAGATATTCTGCCACAACGGATTACCGGATGTAATCGTATCCGACAGCGTCTCGCAGTTCACCTCAAGTCAGTTTCAAGAATTTCTCAAACGCTTAACGATCAAACATTTCCGCTCTCCACTTCACCACACACAGTCAAATGGCCAAGGAGAAAGATTTGTGGATACATTCAAAAGATCTCTAATGAAGTCGAAAGGGCAGAGGACACCAGTAGAAACACTGCAGAATTTTCCTATTGTTTTCCGAACAACACCTAGTGATATGCTACCACAGCAGAATTCACCGGCAGAGATCCTGATGGAAAGGAAATTCTCTGCCAAAAAAGTCGATCTTGTTTGACCAATCGTTATATACATCACGACCTGTTGAAGTTCATAATTCAATAGCTAAGCATCCTGGACTATTTACCGTTGCTGGCAAGGCTTCAATCGCACCGAAATAAGTCGTTTTACTTCTGTTTTCGTTAATACTGCCGCAAGGAAAGCATCCCCATCCATTGGTCCATTTAAGCTGATCGACCAGCCTGTCCAACACTGGTCACCAATATGTATTTATTGATAGAATTATAACAAAAGAGGAATGTAGCTCACCGCTATAAGCGATTTGCTGTACATTGGGATGTCTTTCTTTGAACTGAAAATTGATACGCTGGCTTATGTTACGAGTATGAGCTGTCCTTTGTACACCATCCCATGAATTTTCTTAACTGCAACGATAGTTGCAAGAGCTTTTTTGTTTGACTGCAGTTTTTTTCAGAATATAACAGTGTTCTAAATACATATGCAGTAACCTTCTGAGAACCATCCGGTTTCCAAAAAATATACCTATGTGTCCATTGTTCGATGCATCAGTGTCAATGAGCATTTCAACATAAGGTGTTGGAATGAGTTAGCAGCATATTTGATGACAAAGTTTTGGACTCACATGTAGCACGTTTGATGTAGATATGTGCGTTGGCGATGTCTTTACGATAACCTATTTTGCATACTTTCAATGATCCGTAGGTAATATATCGTTTTGATTTAAAACATTTTATCTTATCACCCATCAAACTAAGGTCTATTATACGTCATGTGATTAAGTGTTTCGTAACCAAAAGATGGCATAGATACAAGTACTTGTAAAGTTTATCTAGGCTGAAGTGGCTACAGTATTTACCTCAGTGTATAAATTCTTCATCTTCCTTAAAAAACACTAAGTGATTGGTTCTATAGACTCAATTTAACTCAGAGCTTTATTAGTCTTAACTTATGTTATATGCCTTATCCGAGTATTAGTGACTCCAAAACCACCACAACAGATGTGCTTATTGAACTGCTGAACAGACGCTTCAATGAGACATAGCACTACTTTAACCAAACAGTGAGTTGACGTTCAATGTCTACAAATATCCGTCATTACGAATTCAAGCTACGGAAGAGTATAATGGGAACTAAATCATGTCCTGTTACCACTTCACTAGAAAGTCGACGAGGCGGAAATGAGATCACTAAAGACGAAAGGCTTAAACACCAGAGAGAACCCCGAGGTAGAGGAGTTGAATCCTACACCTCCCTGTAACGTCAGTACCTGATGTGTTTCTGCCATCATTCTATTACTAGCTAGCCACCTTTTGTCTATTTACCTTCGCTCATGTTTACTTGAATTTTCTTGGATTAAGATGAAACCATATTCTAAACAAACTGGAACACTATATACACAATTTATAGTTAAAAGTTCGGACTTTGGACATGAGTGTAAGCACTATTCTAGTAGAATTATATTACTTGTTAATTTCAAGTTCGAAGATATCAGATATTATAATGATCACCGTCAGATCCATCTTGAATGTTTTGTGTGTGAAGATCCCTTCATGTATACACTTGCAGTCTATTCCTGTTGATTATTTCAGTTACACTTTCTGTCAGTCCTTTTAATTCCGATATTTGTATTCTGTTGTAGTTTTCGTTTTCTTTTATGAGTTACCATGTTTCTTCCTGAACTACATTTTTGTTGTTTTCCTGGATACTCTGATTTGGCGGCAGAAATTGATATGCTCCATTTTGATTGTGGGCACACTATGCGTGCTAAGTCACGGGTTTCCGCGCAAATGTAACATATTGTCGTAGATTTTTTGTGTCGATATTTATCAGCTATTAACAGCTTTTTTTCCATCATACGTAAATTTTCGTAATCTTTGTGCTTGAAATATAGTTTTTATTGCAATTTATAAGCAGTTTGACGTATTTCTTGCTCACCACCTAAGTAAATCTGTAGTTAGCGTAATATGGTTATTTTTAACAATACGAAGTCAAACAAGTCAAATCACCATTTCTCTAGTCAAAAATAGATTAAAGATTGAGTTTTCATGAAAATAAGCCGTAAAACCCATTATATATGGTTCACCTCCTTGATTATGGTGACGGCAAACATAGATGTTCGTAGTCGTTTATAAAATGTAATTAGAAAGAAGTAAGCGTTAACCTAACTATGAATATTATATAACATGTTTGTATTTAGCCATAAAATGTTATATGCACTATAGGTAGCATTGATTTGTACTGAAGTGACATATTATTGTGTAACGTATCGGAGAAAAATTATGTGAGTAACAATTGACGTTGATAGTCTTTTCTACCGGCTTCCTGTACGTATACAGGAACAGTGTATAACACCACATTAAATAGGCACAAAATCTTCATAGGTAAAACGATGGGTGTCTGTACTGAGCATGGTGACAAAACCATGTCGTACCTAATACTGATTTATGATTAATTATTAAAAAGTTATTCCTTGCAACAATAATAACCCAAGGATATACTGCAAATACTTAGGACTTACCTGTGACTTGACATTTCGTTGAGCTTTACCACAGCTGTTGGGATCACAAATCAAATTACAAAGCAACAACAGAGCCAAAGTGTGCATTACAAAACAGAGAATGCTAAATTGATGGTTTTCGTATTTATTTCGTGATTTTTTATGCAGCATAAGATGACTTATATATGAAAAAACTTGATACTCATGCAATCCAACCAACACACGGCAATTGAAATACGGAATAACCGCCTCTAGTCAGGCCGTTCAAGGTCGTTGAAAAGAAAGGGCGGGCACATTCGGAGAGACCTAACGTTTAAACCGTGCCTTGATTGTGTTGCTTGCGGAATGGTGCATTTTTGATTGTTAATCGAAGCACTCCTCGAGAATTAGAAATATTTTGCGTTCTAACTAATATAACGGGAAGAAAAATCAAAATTCGACTGATTTATTCATTATGAGCTTTGATCATTATTACTTCCGTTTTGATTTAATGTAATGATTACTCAATCTAATATTTACTTAGTTTTCTCGTATGATGTCTTATTTTATATAAAATACGATATTCGTGTTTCAATTGACATGGACTATGCTCAGCACATTATTTGTCATAGCTGAGTGTTTTTTTATATATCTGATTTCATCCTAATTATTAATGAAATTCTGTGTACAGTCAATATATAAATGAATGTATTTTCGACTAGGGTCGTCGTTGTCGTGTTCTGGGGGCCAATCTTGTGTTCTAACCTTCGCGTCATGAAAATTGCAGAGCTCTCTTGTTTCGAGTATAAGTGATGAGCATTTTCGACACAAAAATCATCGACGATCAGATATAAAAAGTAGCGTTAAACGACAAGATATATCAATAACACGACTAAAATTTATCTTCCGACCGCATCTGTACGGGATTTACCAAGCAAGGAAAGAATAATATTTAATTGTTGACGTCAATATGATTACTGATTGAACAATTACTGGTTGAATAACCGGGTGGTAATATTTGTTTGGGTAATAATTTACGTTTATATTTGTGATAAAATCTAGAGCTGTCTTTCACCCAATCACTCTGCTTTGTTTTCAACTGGGCAATAGCGGGTATTTGTGCTACCTAGACAGTTATTCTTAATCCACACCTTAGTTGGTATCCTACAATCACACCTAGATTATTGTGATTTAAGAGTCATATGGAGAGGTCAGCGGCTAACGGGATATACAGGTTCACCGGTGAAGCTGAATCAGGTCAATACTGTGATTATTGTCAATGCAGGAACAGCATTACTTACTAGCAATTTCCCTTATACGTAAAAGAGGAAGTAAGAAGTTCTTATTTCTTACTCCATCCATAATCCAATCAAAGGCTCAGAGAAATTTTGTATAGCATAGATTATATAAGAATATACATATGTATGTCGCATCCAATATCTTTACGGAAACCAAATATAAATCATCCGACTTCATAGCTCTCTCTTTCTGATGTTAATTTGTTGTTTCTAAGCTTCGTTACCGTCATACCCGTGCAAACGTTCAACTTGGAGGCAGTAGTATTAGTGGACTTGACAGTTTCTTGAGGTTAGTTATATCTAAAGATAGAATGAATACATCTATCTTGAGACAACAGTCTCAAAATACACAGCAATTACGACTGTTTCAGTCAATGAGATGTAGTAAAATCATAACACTATGATTATTCAGCCAAAAAAGCTGTAATTAGGCAGAAAAATAAAGACAAAGGGCGCATGTGCTTTTTAAAATGATACGAGTGGGATGTGTGCAATGTAGTTATGTAATAAACATTCACGAAAACAGTTTAATGTAGAAATTTAAAATCATTTTCAGTTATTGATTTTACATTTTCCACACTGATCCAAAGCCATAGCTTTTTTACAAAGGAGTACTGGTTGACAAACGGGAGGAATTTTTGAAATATTAAACGCCGAAAACCCCTAATAGTATCGATGAGAGATGAACTTTCACTAGTTAGTCATAGCAGGAAACGTCTAAAAGTAGAATGCGGATGGTTACAAAGGTGGAAAATGTGCTCAAAGCTAACAGGATGATCAAATAATTCATTTACCGATTAAGTAAATAAATAACCAGATCAATGGCTAAAATTGATCACAAAACGGAGATGATATGAAAGAAGGTTGGGCAGGAAAACAATTAATAGTTATGTTGGTATTAGCGATAATGACACTATATAAACCATGATACAAGTTTTAGAATCACTAATAACCGAAGAACAGTCCAACTCATTCAATTAAGCCTCAGATATTCCAGAGTGATATAAGGTTGAGGTATGGAGACGCCTCCCTGTCTTTTCTCGACCATCAGTTTCACGTCGCGACGCAACCTTCGTAAGGCACGCGAACTGTGATACCGACTAAAACGATCTTCATTCATATCTTACAAAATATCAACACAGCTGATTATAATACTACATAGAAAACTGTATCTTTTTTAACACTGATCTTGCCTGGCCTACGTCTAATAAGAGATATCAAATTACTTGAGCGTGTTTAGCATGTGGAGACGAAATTAGTGAAAAGTCTTTCTAAACTCCCTTAATATGAGCGTTTAAAACGCCTAAACCTCTTCCTCTTGTCCGATCGTAGGAGACGAAGTGACCTTATAGTGATATTTATTACGTTTAATTATGATCCGAATCTTAATATATCTGATCTTTTTGATCCCTTCAGTACTATTAGTATCTGAGGTCATGTCAAGAGGGTTCACAAACGGCGATCTAATAAACTCAATGTGGGGTCCCGTTTTCTTATCGAGTTGTCTAAGACTGAAACGCCTCATAAGAAAAGTTTGAATTTTTAGTGAAGGGCGATCTGTCAAGATAAACACAGGTTCACCAACTCACTATCTTCATTGCTGAAAACTTGTTAGTTTATACTAATTTTGTTTTACCTTTTCAATTGAAATCAGAGTACAATTAACCAACTTTGAGGCTTTTCAAAACGTCGACAGTACGTTCTATGTTACAACATATAAATTATACCTTTGTGTAGCTTGAAATCGTCTTGGTTAGTGTGAAATATTCATAACTAAGCAAACGTGACCCGTCAACATTGATTATCGCTGCATTGATAATGTCAAAACGTGATATGAACATGCTCATAATTAACCACTTACCAATTAGTTCATCAAGATGTCTCACCATGTAAATTCATCGATCTCCATTAATTTTAAAATTAAATACTCTCATCACATTTTCATAGTTTTTTAAGATTGAGAACATACTCTTTTTTAGAAGGGATGAGGAATACGAATATGTTTTCACCATTCTTAAGAAATTTGTTGTTTATCCTTCATATTTGTAGATATTTCACAATACTCGGCCAAGTCATTCATATTCGTAACTTTTATTATTCATATAGTTCAGTTTTTGGCTGTTATTAGCCTGTGAGATATTTATATTTACGGCTTACGTGTTATGTACGTAATCTATCTACGTAGATAGATTGTCACAAATATTTCTGTAGTTATCTTACTACTATCTATTATAAATAACCAATAAATGTGCCCAAACGTTCAAGCAACGCATACAAATGGTCCATTGAACATTAATAAATTTGCTTATTATTATAGCCTATAGGTTATTTTGTATAGAAAGAATAACAATATGCTGTTATATGAAGTCACTGGCAAAGAAACTGCCACGTAACATTTCTGAACTCGAAGGTTAGTCTTCATATTAGCGAAGTCACCATATTTGTTTCTTACCAAGTTTTAGGAAGCACAGTTCTATGCTGTACCGAAAATTCTATTCAGAGTTCGTGTTACTGTATTAGAATTTTGTACAGAAGTTTGTCAAGAAATCCTGATAAAAAGATCTCTTTTACGTCTTAAGTAGTTGATCATATGATCCTAGGGTGCTCATCCCAACTGAGAACAATAAGCAGATTATCGTCTACGTTTGCTAGTCTTATATTTCAGGAAACAAATACCATATAAAAAAATGAATTGTCAATGTTTGATGCATGATTACATCAAGAAAACATCCTTATTTGTGAGGTAAACTAGGTTTCAAAAGTTTTCGATTCGTTGTTTTGAGGACAAATTTATGTAACTATTAAGAATGGATAGGTCTTGGTACGTCTACCTTAATCTCTCAGTACTTAATTCTATAGAAATTTTAACACCAAGTGACAAAAATTTGTACATTTTCTCCCTAGAAAGAGTTCTCGATAAAGTTGTGTGATTAATTTGTTATTTAAAGGACTTCATCTATAAGCTAGTTATCAGTTGCAATTAGCGAATATCTTTTTAATGAGTTTAAGTAATATGTGGATCTTTAATTTAGAAAGATTCTATCAAATATGCTTTCAACATTTATTTTCGTGTCGGATTCCAAACCCTTATGACTTATTTGATGTTTCTAATCAAATATCTGAAATCAGTATCATAGGTGGATGGAGATGTTCAATAAGTACAAGTACTAATATTCGTACGTTCTAACTTCGTAAAGTAGAAAATCAAATGAAGCGATGATATTTTCTCAAAAAGATTGATTTGGGTAGTAGTTTGAAGGCAGAATAGAATCAGTCTATCATCCTCACAGTGGTTGTTCTATTAACTGCAAACAAATCAAAGGTTAATAACGACGTTGAAATATAGGATTACATACAGTATGTCAGATGATATTTCGTGTTTCTGTGAATTAAATTGTTTTTGTAACTTTTCTATTCAAATCAACCTCAAATGTTCTGAAGATATTTATCAGATATTATCTGCATTTCATGGCTCCAAAAATTAATGTAGGTTACGGCACATTTTAAAAGTATGTTGTTCGTCTAGTAAACCACTTATTCTGCTAGTGATTTCGTCTTTAAATATCCGATAGTTAAACCAATTATTCTCAAATACATTAGCACTAGTGTTCAAGTGTTTATTTGCTTGCCTGTACAAAACCTATTGGTTTGTCTAAATAAACTGCTTTATGGACAAATCTAAAAATATGTCAATCATAAAACGATTTATTGAAGAACTACACAATTCACTAAGAAATTTAAAATTAACACATAACATAGCTACTGATGTAAGATTAGGCTTATTGATATCTACTTAACTACTAAATGCAAACTATTGTTTAAGTTGTTGCCAACTTACCTTTGATTGTTCAAAAATAAAGTGGTATGGTTATGTTGGCTGAAAGTTCACATTATTGGGAACATGAACGAAGTTTTTCTAGTGAAATCTAAGCACCAAAGGTTAGGAATTGAATATTCTTCAATTCATTCATATATTTGTGAGGGGCCAAAAAGTCTGTATGATGAACTAAAGGTGATGTGTAAATCTCTCTACACGAAATACAAATGAAGTCTAAGTTCGTTAGACTCTTTATTACTTTATATCAGACAAGTTTGAAAAACACTATTTGTTAGATAGTTTAAAATCATGTTTATAACTAATTCTGGCTTTACTTGGTATATTTCATTGTTGGTCCGCATTTCTACAGGATGTTTAACAATTCTTTATTACGGACGTATTAATCACTAAATATGGATGATTCTCATCTATCAGCATCCGCTTTCAATAGTATGAAACCAACAAACATTTGCTGCAACATCGAGCGACACTTTTGAAAAATACCTTATTTCAAAGCTTAGAGGAAGACATACAAAATAAATAGAAATTTGAGTTCCAGTAGAAGTGCAACGACTTGTGTACAGTATTGTTTAAGCCTTTAACTAAATTTTTTACTGATATAGTGAAGATTTGTAACTCAGATAGATGCTATTTTCTTTGAATTGGATAGTCTCTTTATGAAGTTTTCATTGCTGTTCTGAATACTATCATCGACGCTTACTTGTACCTGGCCTAGAAAAGACAATACAACAAAATTTCTTTCAGTGCTGTATTGTAAGTTATTTCAGTGATTCTTTATCAATCCGTGAATCAATATTTACGTCTATAGTTAATGTTTAGCTGTCGTTTGGTTAAAGGTTTACTGTTTTGCTTTTGGTTCCACATCAAATGCAAATTTCAATTTCGTAAATCCTCTTGAGTGATCATTACATTTGGCTAAAACAAAATATAACAAAACTTCTCATTAGTACAAACAGCTTTTAGTCCGTATATCATAAGAAATTTGGGGACAATAAATATCTTTCATGCCTACCGTCATAATTTTACATTGACTGACACTAACACTTTATTATTAAATTTAATAAGCCGTATATTTTAATTTCTGGTAAAATAATCGTATATTAATTGTAACTTCATTCAACACAATATTCTGTACATTTACTAATATTATCTAACTGTTTACTGTAAAAATTGTAAAATAAAATCGTTCGTCTCAGGGGAAACCGAGTAGCCATTGAAAACATAAATATTAAACGATTTTATGAGAACCGCATATTTTGGCTGATTCCTATTAAATAGTGTTCATAAGTTTCTTTGAGTCTAGATAGTTGCATTTATGTTGCCAACTTGTGTTTAAACTAGTTTAACCATTCTTTGATTATTACTTAGTCCTTTCCTAATAAAAAATTTAGATGTAGGTGTTCGATTGAAAGTAATCTCCACCTTTTGATCTGTTACTGTGAATAGCTAACCCTTTTTAATTGCAGAGTACAAATGTATAACCTTACTTGTTTGCCTATTTAGTCTAAATAAATTAGTCGAGCGTTAAACTGTTTGAAATAAATATTCTCATATTTGTGGGAACCATATTTTGTGTATGGTTAAAAGGTTTTCAGCTAAAAAATGATGCAATCTACCTTCTAGCCATTAAAGAACATTTTGACACGTAAAAAACACAGAACGACATCGGGAATTATGGTAGTTTTCGCCTTATTTAAGATCAAAAAGAATCAAAGTTCAGTAAGATTATCTGCGGTCTATACCTTCAAAACTGGAATCAGTGCTTAGTTGAACAGAATAGATTTTACGCATTTCAGTGTCAACTAAATCTCATTGTCGCTAACAGCTTATTTCAATGCATCCCAACAGAAGTCTTCTTTAACTTAACAAATAAATACTACATAACGATTATTCATATGTTTGATTTAGTTGGTTATCCATAGATTTTCCTTACCCGACTATTATATGTTTATTCACATTATAATCATCAAAAAAATAAAAGTCTAGATTGGACATATCTACTCTTCTATAGATGGTATATATTGAACAAATAAATCTCCTGGTAATTTTGCGACGTCACTTACAATAATATCATCATAAAGAGCCATTATTATCTATGTTTATCTAAACAGCATGAAAATAGTAAACGAAGTGTTCTATGATAAAATCGACCTCAGTAAAAAGAATAATTATCTTGATGCGCTTATATTAATTTGAGGAACCGTAAGATGAACTACACTTAAATTAGACCAATATCCAAACTTCATCCAGTTTAATCATATCACCGTGCCCATTGGTGACTAATCTTGACAATGATCCACAAAATCCTATCAGTAAATGATTAGCAACAGAGTCCGCTCAAGACAGGTGAGTGACAAGTATCGACAATGGACATTAGACGATAACCGAATTAAAGTTGAATGTATTCCACATTGAATTCGTGCTCAGAGAATTAATTACTCGTAATTAACTAAGTAGAAGCTTACATCTTTTATTTTATTAATAAAATCACTAAAAATCCGAAATATACTACACAACGTTTGCTTTTTTCAATTTCATTTATGCATATCTTGAGCTCCTTCTAAGATCTGAACTGAATCACTTGGGATGAGATGATGGTTTATTATCCTGTGTTTAAATTTTCTCAACTACTTTCACTGTGATATGAGTTTTTTCAGTTTTATTAGAAACAAGAATATATATGTATATGCATATATTCACTTTCATATGTTTAATTTACATTCAACTAATTAAACGGTTGAATTCCATTTAACAAGAATTTGATAACTTTTTGAACCTGTTTTGCTTTTTCTGTAGATAAAAATCAGTTTTTCGATTTCATCACTGAATGAATCAAATTTTATTAAGAATTTTGAAATCTCATGTTAACAAGCAGTCTTTTTTAGATCAACTTAAAGCATTCAACGAAAAGCCAAATGTAAGCTAATTTACCAATTATATTTTTTAAATCTTCTGGTAAATTAATCTTAGTTTTCTCAAATAATTAATAATAATCTAATACGCTTGGTATACGGCTTACATAGTGAAATTCAGAAAGTAAATTTTACCCTATCTGAGATTCACCAGCCGGATGAATTTACACCCGAGATTTGATGTTTATACTGGGACCTGAATAGAATATCTATTGTTTTAAACATCAAAGAGTTATTACCAAAGATTACTTACTCACTTATGCCTGTCTCCCTTCGCGTAGGACCACAGGCCACCTACCAGGAATCTCCATTGAACTCCGTCCTGGGCAATCCTTTCCAGTTGTTCCCAGTTGCTACTCATCTTATTGATGTCTGTTTCCAATTCAAGATTAAATGTGTTCTTTATTCTTCCTATTTTCCTCTTTACTTCAGGATTCCAAGTTAGCGCTTGCCTCGTGATGCAATTTGGCAATTTCCTCAATTTATGTTCTATCCACCTCCAACGTCTTTTCCTAGTTTCCTCTTCAGCTGGGAGCTGGTTTATCCTCTCTCACAATAGGTTGTTGGTGGTTATATCCGGCAACGGACATTGAGTATCTTATGTAGACAACTGTTTATAAATACTTGTACCTTTTTGATGATGACGATTGTAGTAGTTCTCAAAGTTTTAGTTCCGTACAGTAAAACTGTATTGAAATTAGTGTTGAAGATTCTGACTTTGATTTTATCTGACAGTTGTTTTGAGTTCCATATGCTCTTCAGTTTTAGGAATGATTCCCTTGCTTTGCCAATCCTTACCTTTACATTTTTATCAGGTCCTCCATGTTCATCGATGCTGCTGCCCAGGTATGTGAAAGTTTCCACCTTTTCCAGGGCTTCTCCATCAAGTGTGATTGGGTTGGTGTTCTCTGCGTTTGATTTTAGGATCTTGCTTTTTCCCTTGTGAATGTTGAGACCTACAGATGCAGAAGCTGTCTCGACCTGCATTTGTTCGTGTGTATAGAATAGAAGTGCCAGGTCACCTGCAAAGTCCAAATCGTCTAGTCGCATCCAAGTTGTCAACTTTATTCCGTGCTACTCTTCAGATGTGAAGGTCTTCATAATCCAGTTGACCATCAGAAGAGAGAGGAAGAGGAAAGAATAGGAAACCTTGTTTGACTCCAGTACTCCCTTGAAATGCACCTGTCAGCTGTCCTCCATGCACGACTTTGCATTGAAGTCTGTCATATGAATTCCGGATGATGTTAACAATTTTCTCAGGTTCACCATAGTGTTGGAGAAGTTTCCCTAAGGTTCTCCTGTTCTCTGTGTCATGTGCTTTCTCATAGTTAAGTTGGCTGAAGTTTAGTGATAAGTTCCATTCAATTGAATGTTCAACATTGATCCGTATTGGTGCAGTTTAGTTTGTGCACGACTGATCGTAACGGAGTCGTCCTGTTGATCTCGAAGTTGGGTGTTTACTGAATCATTTATTCGGTTCAAGAACCCTCTGTTGAAAACGTTTCTTGTTACCGATAGTAGTGTGTTGCCTCTGTTGTTCTCACACTTGCTCAGATCGCATTTGTCCGGTAATGTGTCATTCTCTTCAGTCTGTTGGCACTGGTTCTTTCTCTCAAATCTTTCTGCATGGAAAGTGGATCGTCTTTGCAGCTACTTTTATTCCTGACTTCAGTGTTTCATCTGGTATTATGTCAGGTTCTTCTGCTTTACCACTCTTGATTTGTCTGATGGCCATGATGATTTCTTCTGTCGTTGGTGGAGTGACATCTATAGGAAGGTCTGTGTGTGCTGCTTCGGTGTCTGCTGGGTCCAGTGGGGCTAGTCTATTCAAGAGTTCTTCAAAATGTTCTACCCACCTGTTCCTCTGTTCTCCACTGGCTCGCGTTATATTTATTTGATTGATCGCTTTGTTTTACCATATTTCCCTACTAGTTTCTTCGTTATATCGTTCAGTTGTTTGGTGTTTCCTTCGCTTGAAACTTTTTCTCCTGTCGCTGCTAGGTCTTCCATGTATTGCTGTCTTCTTGTTCTTCCTTTCTTGAAGCTTGTCTAGAAATTCGATAGAGACCCATTCCTTATGATAGTAATTCTTGCGGCCCTAGAACCTCTTGATACGTTGGACTTAATGCTTCTTTGATCCCTTTGCAGTTGTCCTCCATAGTAGTTCCTTCTTCTTTGAATAGATCCTGTATGGCTTGGAACCTGTTGTTGAGAGTTATCTCAAATGGGTTACGTTTGTCAGTTTGCCAAAGGGAGGCTGTGTTGAACCTTTGTAGTACTGTATTTTTTCAGTTGCCTAGTGCTCTTCTACCTTTAATTTCATCTTGACAACCACCAGTGGTGATCTGAAGCTAGCTATACCAGCTCCTCTCCTGGTTTTCAAGTCTTTCATTGACCCTGTGATTTTTTTAGTGATACAATTATTATCGATCTGGTTCCCTGTAGTGCGATACAGTGAGATACATGTAGCTTTGTGTATGTGTTTGTTTGGAAATAAAGTGCCGCATATAACCGTTTTGTTGAGTGCACAGAAATTCGCAAATTTCTCACTATTCTCGTCCCTTTCTTCCAGTCAGTTCTTGTCATCCAGCGATATCTTGAAATTCGGTGTCGTCCATTCCAAGGCAGAGTTTAAATTATTTAAATTGTTTATTCTAGTCAACGTTCTTTAGCAAGGTTGTTTTATACGGGATGGGGTTGCTGACCCTATAATCAACCCTCTTCCTTTACCCGGGCTTGCGACTGGCAATAAACCTAAAAGAGCTACAGGCGGATATACTGAGTCTGAATAGACACTCAATTGTTTAACAAGCAAGGAAGTAATAGAAAAAGTTTATAATTTCCAGTTCTTATTATTCAAGGCTATAATTGACTAGTCTCTATTACAATGTGTATTTCCTGAACGCATTGTCTCGATATAGCATTTTTTCCACAAGTTCTGGTATGCATGATAATAAGTTAGTTTATTGTATAAATAGGGTCAGTAGTCAGTATTACTATAGGCTTATGTGACAAAACGTTTGTCCGACGCTTTTTATTTTTTCCACTGCTTTTTCAATCACCCTATTGTTATAACTGAAAGGCATCGGCTTTACTTCGTGGCTGTACGTTAGCGTGACGAACAGGTTTACTTATCATAACTATCCAATCAAAACTAAATAACCGAAGGAGGATATTCTTTCAAATTCTAATATATCAGAATTGTCAGTTGAAGGGTTTTGATACCAGTAGTATGTTTTTAACAGAACAAGCACGATAAAACAAAAACCAATAGTAGTTTTGACCGGTTTCATACGGTTCTGTGTTCACTATCCAAATAGTAACAATACCAGTACTAATCTAGTTACATTGTCAGTGTGGGTAACCAAAAGATTATAACCGTTTACGCATTTCTAAAAACATATAAAAATGTTTTGTTCATGTAATTCATTTATGTGTCCTAATTTTCAGATATTAGCTGCTGTCATCTCATGTGTCGATTCACGTGTTTTAACATCAAAACTTTTATGCTCAAATGTTGGTGAATTATTTATCGAAAGAAATCCAGGAAATTTCATTTGTTGTGAAAATTCTTCATTGGAACATTTTAATAAGAATTGTGTTACACCAGGATTTTTAGAGTTGACTTTAATACGATGTAGAATTAACGACATCATTATTTGTGGCCATTCAGATTGTCGGGTTAGTTAAATATTTAGTTAATTAGTAACTATTATGTCTAGTAACTTTTTATACTTAACATCCTTTATTCATTGTCTATCAATCGGAAAAAAATTTTAAGCAGTAAAATCTTATCTCAACACATTCTGTTGTGAGAGGGCAATCGACAGGAGGAAGGTGTACTTCACATAAAAAGTTACAAATTATTTAAATAATGAATATATATAGCCTTCAATCACCCATTTGCATCTTTCGATGTAAACCGTCTTCTCGTCTAGGTTCCCAGTGTCCTGCCACCACCATACTTTCTATGTACTGAAAATTTTACTCTGTCTGACAATTGTTGCAACTTTGATGCCACGTCCCGCTGCATACTACAAACAAACAATCTTGTGAATAGATTCCACTACACTATTAATGAATATACTCATTTATTTAAAAGTAGGCTCTAACTGGTTAATATGAAAGGTTATAAACGTTTTGGAAGATAACATAATATTACGATTGCAAACTTCAGAAGTATCTTGTAAATCAAAAGGTAAGAATGTAACAGTCGGAAAATTACCATTTCATATATCTGCACATTAATCACCTTGTTTTACTTCTACCAAACAGTAGAGGATTTAGTTTAGTGAAAACAATATAATGCATTTATCTATAAACTCTTCAACTACTGTTCTGGTTTACTTAAAAAGGCTTAGAACAACTTGTAATAAGTTTCAGATTAACTGATATATATGACCTACAATATACTGATGATAGATTTAACCTTTAGTCATTTTTCTAAACTTTATTATTCCAGTTGTATTTACACACGTAATTATTCTTAAAAGAACGTCATCTATTATTTCTTCATTTGTCGACGTTTTAAAACAAAACTAAAAACGTATATTCACTAGTATTTTGAGCTATTTATAGTTAAACGTCATTAAAAAATCTGAAATAGTTATCTAGGTGAATGACAATGATACACTAATTGATTACGGAATAGTAACTAATGTCATATTTGTCGAAATCCTTAGAGTTGATTGAATTCTTTCAGTAAAGTTGTAATAAAAACCACTAGTCAAACTAGCTGGACACCATGTCCACAGTATGTTTTTGTGTTATATGATTGAAGAAAATCGGCATTAAACGTATTATTTAAATTTCATGCTAGTTAACAATTTCCAGCAAGTTATACCTACAACATACAGACATGTAAATAGTATGATTTGATAGGTGGAGTTTAATCAACACTAAGGTCAAAAAAATTATGACTGTAGTTACTTCTCAGTAATTAGTCAGTGTACATATTTGAATTCTGATGAATTTCAGTCACAACTCAAACCGTTTAGTGTTAATGTCTCTAATTGTGACACTGTGTGACGAGTATTCAAATCCCATGGAGAATTTCAACTCCATAAAGACTGTAGATGGGTCCCACTAATTAACGAGTGCACTCAATGTGTGCCTACAACGCCTTATCGATAATTTTCAACCATATGACATGTAAATATAACTGTCTTGTGAAAATACCTGGTCTTAAAACAACCTTTGAAAAGCTTAGTAAATACACAGTACTGGTTGTGTATTAATTGTTTTGTAAGCCTAGGAGCTATCCACTTTATATCTCACTTTAATATCACACTTGTAAATACTTTACCTCCTTTCAGATTATGAATGTAACTGATAAACCTCTGTAAAAGTTATAATTATATAATTAATGAAAGGATTTGATTAAATGGAAATTACAAAAATTACAGTTTATTTGTCACATCCATCACATTAAATGTGACTCATTCTTAATTACGCTTTTTCTACTTGATTCATCACTATAGGTTATCTAGAATATATTTAACTGAATATAAGAATGATCTCTGATTCAGTTAGTTTCAGTTCTCATCAAGTTAATAACCTCATCGTTACTTTCGAATACAATTTCTGTAGTCAGTTATGGACTTCGCTATAGTCAGACAATTTTGATGATTTACAGTATAAAATTATACGACGGTCTAATATGATTTGACTATTAATGATTACTGGAGAGTATGCAATATTAACTAAGAATATACATTGAAATATGTACCCAGGATATTTATCAAGGGTAGCATTCTCCATTACTTCATATTTCAAAATTAATTATATAAGGTCTTGTGACCACAATTTGTAGTTGATAAATGTGAAAGTACGTGAATAAAAGTTCAAGTACAATAATAATAATAATAATAATAATAATAATAATAATAATAATAATAATAATAATAATAATAATAATAATAATAATAATAATAATAATAATAATAACAATAATAATAATAATAATAATAAATAATGGTTTAAATTGACGAATTATTAGCGAAATAAAAATTGCATCCGATTGGTATATTTCTGAACATTACGAAAATTTATACTGTCAACGCCCAGTGATAATATTTATACATTACACAATGGTAAATGTTTCAGCTTAATCTACAGTCCAGTTGATGTACAGATTGACCATATGTTTAATAATAGTAGACCATTTATTTGGTATCAATGGTTGTATGCTGAGCTGTAAAAATAATATTGTCAAAACAGTAGTTTCAAATGGAAGGTTTACTTTCTAGCGAAAATCATAAATCATCAATGTGACTTGAGTTTTTAAGCAACTGATAAAATAAAAGTGTTCTAACTTTAAAGAAAACGTTTCGATGAGGGTTGTAAAGATTTATGTTCAGGATAGCATTCAAGCTCTTGTGTTAACAAAATTACCAAAATATTTACAATCTTTCATACTTTCTAATTCCCGATTTATTGTCACGATTATTGATAATTAAATAGATTTCAGATAATTGTCTGTACATATAATTTTAGCACAACATTTACTTACGCCTGATACTCCCAGTGGAGCATAGGCCACCGACCAGCATTCTCAATCCCACTCTGTCCTGGGCCTTCCTTTCCAGTTCCATCCAATTTTTGTTTATTTTTCTCATATCTGTCTCCATTTCTCGGCGTAATGTGTTCTTTGATCTTCCTCCCCTCCTTTACCATTGAGGATTCCAAGTGGGGGCTTGATTTGTGACACCGTTGGGTGCTTTCCTCAATGTATGTCCTATCCACTTGCAGCGATTCTTCTTGATTTCTTCCTCCGCTGAGATCTGGTTTGTTCTCTCCCACAGTAGGTTGTTGCTGATATTGTCTGGCGAACGGATCAGGAGTATTTTGCGTAGACAACTGTTAATAAACACCTGTCTTTTCTGGATGATGGCTTTCGTAGTTCTCCAAGTTTCCGCCTCATACAATAGAACTGTTTTGACGTTTGTGTTGAAAATCCTGACCTTGGTGTTGATTGACAGTTGTTTTGAGTTTCAGATGCTCTTCAGTTGTAAAAGCACAACACTTAGGTTTGATAAAATTTTGTTCACTTTATAAATTCAACGGTAGCTTTCTATAAATTTTGTAGCTAGTTTCTCATTCATCGTGATAGATAAACCTCTCTGCTCACACTGGGTTTAACCTCCTGATATTCGTTTCTACTGTAGAAGTTTGAAATTTTCACACACCGTTGATTATGCAGAGAAGGTGTAGATGACAAAACATGCAACTACATAAAAGCAGACATCCTAGTGTTTCTAGGATTATTTTAGACGATAGAAATTGGTATGAAACATATGTACTACCAGGAATGAAGAATATTTTTGAAGGGATAAGATTGATTTGTTAAAACTTTGTGAAGTAATGTCTTATAACTTTAGTTTTTAGATTTACTGAACGAATATTGTTGTGAAAATTTAAAGCACCAACATTGAGCTACGTAGTAAACATTGTTATAATCAAATTTTCAATTATAACTAAGGGAATGAACTTGAATTAAATTATCCTCACTTACCTATGTAGATGTTTAGATATGTAGCAAATAATAAAAACACTAGTCGTAATAACGTGCTTGAACTTAAAAAGAAACGAATTCATGATATCAAACCATCTGTTTGTTGAATATAAGATTTCTATGCATAATTTTCCGGTCACCAGATCACTTCAGTTACTTGCTGATCATCTACCGACCATGGTGAACTTAACACCCTTTAGCCTCTTGGTCTAGCTTGTCTCATGAATATATCCGTTATCTTTTTAAGTTGTTCAGTGACAAGTATAATTAAATATAAAGAAATAATTTACAATTTTTGATATCACCACATAAACTAATAAGTTTATATAGCGATAATTAGACAAGGGTATTATTGAATTTCTGAGAATCAATAATTATACCATAGGGAAAGGAAAAACAAAGACAATCATTTACTCCATAACTACTGTACTGGAAACTGAAGTAACCTAGTTTAAGCATTCTGGATTGTTTTACACGTAATTCAGTCTACTGTCTAGTGTATGTATATACATCTGTTGTATACAGCTCTATTAATTCTATAATGGTCAGCTCCAACATAGTTTTTGTTAAATCCAAACTTTGCGTACCATAGTTACCCTTATTCATCTCCATTTTCGAATTATTTAGTTAATATTAATTTTTAAATATCATTAACTATGTCATAACCAGCCTCTTGTTTGTTAAGTTCAAATCTTGACATAAAGTTATACTGAGAAAGTAGTTATCATCAATTTAGATAAAGACTTCCGATCAACTACTGCTTTTATAATCAATAGCTCAACGGGAGTAATTCATCAATCAACTTTTGGTTGGTTCCGATATTCCTTTTTTCTTTTAATAATGAAATGGAAACGTTTTATAAATTCATAAGCATCAAATAAAATGAACAAACTGACCAATTTCATTTCGTCACTCTATTTACTACTACATCATTTTAGTCAAATACATATGTATTTTTAACGTAAACTGATGTCCTAAATTTTAGTGTTCTCAGAAATTCTGGCATCTAGTTTTAATAATGAACTGCAATTATTGGCTGAAGAACTACTAAAAACCAGAAAGCACCTGAACAGATGTTTCTCCCTGGTTTAGAACTCTTCAGTAACAATCAAACACCAATCGACTCTGCTTTGAAAATAGAACAGTCACAACCTTAAGACCATTGAGT